ATAACCATTCTCTAACCAATAATTTCTGTATATTCTTTCTATATGTTCGTCTCCTTCATTTGAACTTGATTCTCCCACATCATCTGAACTTTCTAGTTCTCCTACGTCACTTTGTTCTTCAACAAAACCTTTTGCTTCTACTATTTTCTCTATTATCTTATCTGTTAAATCATCGTCTATCCATGGTTTTGGATATTTATTTCTGTCCCACCATTGATATGTTATACTTTTCTGAAACTTCTTGACTTCCTCTCTATTTTTTTCTTCTGCTATATTTTCTTCTAAATGTAATATTTCTTTAAATTTTCTCATAGTACTATATCCTTTATTCTTAATAGTTACTGATTCTATTTCTTCTAACCATTCCTCAAATTTTGCAAATCTTATATCTAATTCATCATCTTCTATAATATATCTATACGTCAACAATTCTTTATTTTCTAACAAATTCTCCTCTGTTTGATCATCTAATATGAACTCATTATCTTCACTAAGTATATAATATTCACATATCACTTTTATTACTGATATAATTCCTATTTTTCTATAGTCTGATTTACACAGGTCGAAAAGTGAAAAATCAGGCACCAATCGGTCACCAATCAGGTAGTTGATTGGTGCCTGATTGGTGCCTGATTGGTGCCTGATTGGCATTTTCGCCAAATACCGTCACCAATCAGGCAGTTTGCTAACTTTTGATCCAGTGATCAGAAAAGAATGAAACATAGCTCATTGGAATCGTCTCAACATGACGAATCTAATGGNTTTATTTCTGTCCCACCATTGATATGTTATACTTTTCTGAAACTTCTTGACTTCCTCTCTATTTTTTTCTTCTGCTATATTTTCTTCTAAATGTAATATTTCTTTAAATTTTCTCATAGTACTATATCCTTTATTCTTAATAGTTACTGATTCTATTTCTTCTAACCATTCCTCAAATTTTGCAAATCTTATATCTAATTCATCATCTTCTATAATATATCTATACGTCAACAATTCTTTATTTTCTAACAAATTCTCCTCTGTTTGATCATCTAATATGAACTCATTATCTTCACTAAGTATATAATATTCACATATCACTTTTATTACTGATATAATTCCTATTTTTCTATAGTCTGATTTACACAGGTCGAAAAGTGAAAAATCAGGCACCAATCGGTCACCAATCAGGTACCTGATTGGTGACCGATTGGTGCCTGATTGATGCCTGATTTTTCACTTTTTGACCTGTTTTATTTCTATACCTAATTGACCTTACAACTATATCTAACAGTTTTTCTCCTTCTTTTCTTATTTTCTCAAATTCTTTATTTCTTTTCTTTTTACTAGATGGATAATTTTCTTCTCCATCCTTTCTTGTCAATACTATATATTCCATTAATTTTGTGTACATGTTTCTATTATAATTCATTGCTTCCAGTATTACCTTTTGAAAAATTTTCCAAAATCTTTTAAACCAATCTCCTATTTCTATTTCATTAGTACTATAACATTTTAGACATGAAGGGTCTACTTGATATTCTTCCTTTGATTCATTGTGTTTCTCTATTTCATGTCTATTCTTAATCTCTTCTAATTCATCATATATATCAGACATTTTAATTTATTTTATTTATTTATTTATTTGTAAAATAATTTCATTTCGTATTTTCAATTTATTTATATTTTATTCATATAATTATTCATTTATTACTTCAATCTTTATTTCTTTACATTCTCATGTACATGACTTCTTATTACCTTTTTCTTATTACATCTTTTATTATATACTATTCTATTACTTATATCCTAATATTCTTTAACTTCACTAATTCTCAATTAGTTTAACATCTTTCTAAACAACTACTTATCTTTTACTTCTTTAAAATACAATTTAAATTCTAATATTTTCAAAGTTCCAGCTTTGATTCTATAATTTTTCTATACATTCTATAATATAATCTATAATCGCGATTTTATTTATAAAATTTCCATATCTTGCGCAAATAAACTGTGATCAAAGCTAGGGATTATTTATAACTGGGGCCGCCCAGTGTCAGACTAATATGATCACCAACAAAGGCTTATTTATACTGGGTCCTCCCAGTGTACTCTTATTTATACTGGGGTTCTCCCAGTTCTATACACAAAATTAAACTTTTTAATAACTTTTAATTTTTTTCTTATATTAACTTCCAAAATATTTATTTCAAATCTATTTCATATTATTTTATTTCTCACATTTCATTTTATAATTCATTAATATTTTCTTATTATAATTGGATAGCCACGGATTTTTAAGCGATCAACGTACTAAAATTTCTGTTGACAAACGCCCCTGGTGATACAACTATTTCTTTACTATTCTCTTATTTATTTATTATTTTTATTAATCAGTCGCTCCTGCCCAAGGGGCAGCTATATATTTCTTTTACTGCGCCTTATCACATGACCTATACTTTCTCTTATTTCTTTTATTTACTGCGCTTCATCACGTGATTTACATTACTCACATAATTTGTACTACATTTTATTTTTATATTACATTATCATTTATTTTATATAATTCATTATTATCTTTTATAATCTTTCATATTATTCTTTTATTGTAATAAAATTATTTTTCATATATCAAATAATAACATTTCGATATTTCTTATATTTACAATATCATTTAATTTTCTCTTTCATTTAGTAACCTATACC